TGGGGTAGATTATTTTAAACATTTTTTAGTGTCCTTGTAAATTTGGCCTGAGTGAACTTAAATCCTGTATTTTGAATGAAAAAATAGCTTTTGATGACAGTTTTTTWAGTTATTTAATAAAAGAATAAGCAAACACCTAATGTACAACAGGTTAAATGATTTTACAGTAGCCTTAGAAGGGATGAGAAATAAAAAAAACACAAACTTCAGCGTGGGTTTAGATGTTTACTTGCTGTATCTGTACTTTGGGAGAAGTGAAACTTGACAGTTTTTACTAGATGTGAGTAAATCCTTACGTAAGTTATATTATGTGTTTTATTTTGTAATGAACCTGATCCCTCTTCCTGTCTGCTTCTCAGGTGTGAGCTCCATGGAGACGATGCTGGCCCACCTCTTCTCTCAGCTGTTTGTCATCAGCGTTCAGATCATYCTGATGCTCCTCTTCATCCTGCTCGTCTTCAAGGTGGACACCTAAACGCACATACACATAAACCTCGCTAAGTCTCGAGAACGGGCTTTCATGATGAAACCCAGGCGCTCGTACCTCTGCTGTCACTCCTCACACGGTTTGATTGGGGTTTGACAGCAGAAATCCTCCCTGACACGTCGAAGGTTAATGTTTCACCAGCTCGGCAGGTCGTTCATTTGCATTTTTACTGCATCAGCAAAAMTTGGACTCTACTTATAAGAGCCACAATTATGGTAATAAGAATTTAATGCAACCAACAAACGATTTAAATCAACTTCCTTATTGCAAGGTCAGCAGATATGTTTCCTGTAAAAACAACACATCACTACAGGCTATTGATTGTCAGTGGCATGTAAGGAATCGATACAGTGAGAAGTGTGTGTTTGCTGAGTCCGCATGCTTTTAGGCACACGTGTGTCATTTTTGTCTGTGCAAGTGTGTTAATTAAGGCGCCGAGGCCCAAAGAGGCCAGCACTTCATAAATCATTTCCTGCTTCGCTCGTATCCAGGGATCAGCGGGAGGATCGCCACCACAACAGCCCCGGATTGCTGTGGCAACCGTGTGGTCATGTGGCCTCCGGGTCTATTTTTGCACGTTGTCCGGGGAGACGGATGGTGCCTGARCGCGGCGAGGAGTTCACCAGCACAAACATTCCTGATGACTTAAGAGAGGTTATCACCTTGAATGGGCTTGGAAGGAGCCTGCTGGAGTTTTCTCCGCTTTTGTAAACATCTCATTTTGAGGGTTGTGCCGATATGTTTGGTCAAAGATCAGTGCAGAACATTAGGGAGGGTTTGTTTATCTCTCCTTGTTTAAGGACTTTTAAGCGTTTAATCAGGGTTAATTTAACTCTATTTGCTTATGATACATTTTGGGGGTGGGTATTATGCAAAATCAACTGTTTTAAGTTTTATATCATGTTAATAATAATAACAATACATTTTATTTGAAGGCACCTTTCATGGCACTCAAGGACACCATACAATGTAAATACAATGCAATAAAACAAGAATAAAATAACAATAAAACATCATACCTTACATAACAATTAACAAATAAAAACATTGTATAAAACAAAACATCCTACAAAAAACAGGATTAATGGGAGATGGTGATTAAAGTGGATAAGGCTGTTTAAAGAGAAGAGTTTTAATCTGTGATTAAAAAATGAAGACGGTAGGAGAGTTGCATGTTGCAACATTACCTCATCAGAATCATGCACAGAGTGTTACTTTGACTCATTGGTTCACGTTCGAAAAATCCTTGAATCTGCTGTGGTAGCCATGAGGAGCTGCCTAAACACTTGCTGGTACAAAGCACCGCCCATCTGTGCAAAGCTCCTCCCTGGAGCTCAGTCTGCAGCTGAGCACCCGCCCCACAGAGCACCCCTCCCTTGAAGCAAGACGTGCTGAAGTGGGAGTGTCTGAAATGGTAGGAGGTATCATAAGAGGCCAATTTCAAGGTGTTTATACAGTATAAGCTATGATGAAAAGTCTTATATATATATGTACATCATTTTCATAACAACTGAAGGTAACATTGATCGTGGTACAGAACTGAACTATGTGCCAAAAAATATGTAATACATACGTAATTGGTGGTGGATGAAGTTCTCCATTAACTCTGAGCTCCACCGTCTGTCTGTCTGTGCAGATTCCGAACGAGGGCTCCTTGGCTCTGGTCATAGTTCTGATCGTGCTGCAGGGCGTCTCCGGCATCTCCTTCGGTCTCGTGATCTCAGCCGCCATCGACGACGAGCAAAGCGCCAATCAAGCTGCCCTGGGCATCTTCTACCCCAACCTCATCCTCAGCGGTGAGCAGAGACCTCATCTGTGACATGAAACGAAACTTTGTGGCAAGAAATTCTATAGAAAATGACAGCAGGTGTTTGGTTTTAGTAAGTTTATTGAAGCTGATTAAAGACTTGATATGTTTTAGGTGAAGCCAAAATTATTTTTATCTACCTTTTGCCTTTTGGCGCAGGCGCTAAATACAATATTCTGTGACAGGTATACACAAAACTAGTATAAATTAGCAAATTTATATTAAAATATTCAAAAGGTTTTGTTTCTAAATGCATATTTGACTTAAAAAACTTGTTTTTTCTTCCTGGTCAAGCTTTGAATTTTAGTTTTTTAGTTGAGACCAGAGCAAAAACTTGCATCAATAAACTAATAAAAAGGTGGAAAAACTACATGCAACAAACATTTGAGAAATGAAATTCTTTAGCAGATTCTAGCTGTCAAAAACAAAATGAAGGACGAGATTACACGCAGATATCAGCATCCAGACATCAATATGTTATATTATTTTTTTGCCATCTTACACCGTGTTTTTCTGTCCTCCGATGCAGGGATCATCTGGCCCGTGGAGTGCATCCCGTATCCTCTCCGGTACCTGAGCCTGGCTCTTCCTCAGACCTACGCCTCGGAGTCCCTGCGCTGCATCATGTACAGAGGTGATGTGCACAAAACAGCCCGCATGCAGACAAGTGTGTGAGGCTCAAATTCCCACACACAACCCATCCCATCTAAATCATTTATCAGCCCCTCAGTTCAGTGGAAMTCTTCCTCCTGGAATGGAAGTTGGAACGGTTTCATTCTGGCTAACGAGGATTTCACTTGTGAACAGAAAAAAAAAACTAATCAAAGTTTGTGTTTCATGAAAAGCAGTAAGTCAGCTTTGTTATGGCCCAACCCATCTACTGAGTCCCATCTTAGGCCTGGGGGTCATTCTGAGTGGCATGGGTTTTCTCCAGATGCTCCAGTTTCCCCAAACAGTCCCAAACATGCAGGCTAAGCTAATTAGCAACCTCACCAATTATTAGCTCAGTTTCTGTAAAACTGACTGCGTTTTAGCCCAGTTTTGTGTTTGCTAAGGTTATTAAGATGACTCTGAAAGTCTGAATCAATCAYGTAAAGATACTGAACTTTCTTAGCGTTTAAGAAAAGATCTGCTTATTGGTTCATGATACATTTTGCTAACAGACACACAGGTATCAACATCTACCGCTGATTAACTTTTGGAGTCAACTTAATATAAGATGGCCACTCCAGCTAACCTGATCAAACACAAAAAATTACTACAACTCAGTCCGTTTCATTATTGAGCTAAACTTTGTTGTGATAGTAGCTGAGAGTCATCCCAAACACCAGGGCTGGTCCATAGCCAATTTGGCGCCCCTTTTCTAAATCACAGCCAATTTACAAATATTCACATACCAAATTAAATAGTTTTATCCTTGATTTTTTTTAAACCAGGTTGTCCAGTTAAAGTAGTTAACAATATAATTCATTTGAAACAGAATACTAGAAGTCCACKTCCTGCCAACATTTACTGACAGCAATGAGGAACACCTATTCATGTGGTGTGAAGCAGTTCTAGGGGGGTCCAGGGGTATACTTTTCCTGAAAATTTAGCAAAAGTTATACTCAAAACTATGCATTTTCCAGCCGTTTGAAGAATATTTTACTGAATTCTTGAGCACCTGTAGTTAGTTTGGACTGCATCGCATGATACTTTTATTACAAAATATCCTCTGCATCATATAACACCTCATGTAGCAACAAAGCAGGTTGAGAAACCCACAGAACAAGTTACCTTAATTAACTTGAGTAACAAATAAATATTCTATAGATTAAATCAACTCTAATCTGATAAACTTTATGTAGTCCCTCATTCTTAGCACCCCCTATGGACATCTCCCTTTGCATTTACCTTGGCTGCCTATGCTATAGAATGACCCTGCAAGACACGTGTGCTTTGAATATTAACAATTAATGCAGGATCTTTGTTTAAAACTTTGCCAGTAATTACTGGAATTGGTCATGTCTCTGTGTAAGAAAAATATCTCATAAATCAGTGGAYWGACCTTTATGAAATTCCCACACAGAAATCATTGGATGTGCAGCTACAGCTGATTAACTTCAACCAAATTCAAGATGGCTGCCACAGCTAACCAAMTGYAAAAATTTAGAATGGATATAACTYAGTAAAATTCATAGCTATTGAGCTGTAATTTGGTTGGAGTAGCCAAGAGTCCGAGCACTAACAAATCCAAGAGATCTTTAGATTTAAAGTTGTTTTAAAGATTTGACCAAAATGGCTACATCCTTTAGAGATAAAGCCGTCATGAAAGGCGGTGGGCGATATGCATTCCTTAAGGAATGTTAGGCTGTTAATTTATATTAGCCTTTATACACTTGTTATAGGTATTAAACACTTGTTTTCTGCTTTATTAATTGTATAAACTTATTTTTTTATTATTAATTTTTTTTCTCCAGGGTGGGGTCTGTCTGAGATGATGGTGTGGCGAGGCTTCATTGTCACTCTGGGCTGGAACACCTTCTTCCTGATCCTGGCGACGGTCATCCTAAAGCTGAGGAAGTGACCGCGCCCCCACCCSAACCAGAACGGATATGAAAAACACTTGTGTGTGGTGAAAACCAGGGCAGCAGAATTCAAGAGGGGGGAAAAATGGGTGTCAGGGTGGATGCGTTGGTCAGCCTCCTCCTGATTCTCTCTCTCTGACACACACACACACACACACACACACACACACACACACACAATGATCCTGAAGCAGTTGCTCCTGCCTGTTTAAAGTGAAATTTTGAGAGGCTGCACGTAGAAAACACTTGTTAAATAAAGTGCGTTAACAGAGATATCATGTCTTACAGTTCGTTTTGCTTCTATCTGCATCTCTGTGAACGACCACARACTAACTCAGGGTTACTTTTCTTTTTCTTTTTTTTAAGCCTTTGTTTGCCTTAATGCTAATAAAATATTTTGTTTGTTTTACCAATTTATTTGAGGCTACAGAGCCTGGGCAGTCCATTTTTGATGATAAATCTGCTTATTGTAACTGTTGGACATTCCAAAAATCAGTATTTTCCATCTACTTGACTCATATTAAAGACAATGAAAGAAAACTTTAAAGAGTCAGAGCACAAAAATATTTATTTTCTGCTAAATATTCCTTTTCTCAAGCAGAAAATAGAGAAAAATATCATTGCACAATGTTGTGGGAAGGCAGAAGAAGCTTAAAAATAGTGATTGCTTCATTTTGTCCCATTTAGGCTTCCTTCACATAGTTTTTTTCTTGACCTTGACTCGTTGTGTTTAGCTGAACGTGCTCTCTGCTTGTGAAAGGAAGCTGTAACCCTCCTGTGTTCCCAGCTTCTGTGATTTATTGTTTTCAGTTTAGTTATTTTTCCCCCCCAATATCTGTGCCTTCATCTTAAATAAGAAGTTTGGTGATGGGAAATGTTTCGTCCTGAATGTTTTATATTTTTATTTTTCATTCCCCTCTACTTTGCTGGACAGAGTGGAGCTCATTGGATAGATGTCTTTTCCCAGATCAAGCTGTCAGCATCCTTACAGTTTCATTTTTTTTTTTTACAAAAAAACGACTTAAAGCTGTGTAAACTTTTTAGATTTTTCCAAATTGTGTCCTGCAACAATCACAACAGAATTAAAGCACATGGGGCAAGGCTCTTTGGGGTTCAGAATGCGATAAAGACAAAAATGCAAAATCAGATTTGAGGRCATCTGTAGATCGTGCTCACAACCAGAAACCTGGGGTTTCCTTCCTTTTTGTGACAAATATTCTGTCTTATTTCTTTTRACATGTTTCTGTATATATGTTTATACTTGGGTTTTATGTCTTTTTTATTATTATACGTAAGAAAATCACTAAAAACACAGAAAATGAAGGATAACAAGATAGTGTAGTCAGACACTGTCATATTATTAAAGTAGCTTTACTTTATTTATATTTGCTTTTTGAATTTTATTTTATTCTTTTGCACCCTCTCTAAAAATAATATCAAACCAGTTCAGCTGTTTGAAGTAAGAGCGATATATATATATATATATAGATGAAAGATATTTTGACATTTTTTAAAGTAACAACTTTTGACAAATTGAAACAACATACCAGCGTTACTTATTGTGCCAGCCATTGA